CAAATGAGAGAATGGGGCTGCCCCGCAGCAGCTGCTGCTCTTAGCGAGGGTAGCTGTCTGTCTGTCCAAATAGCGCTTTCTAATTAGAATTTATAAGTTGGTTGGCAGCCGCGGCTTAAAGTGTACTCTTAAAATTTAAAGCCAGCAGCAAGCGTCATATTTGCAACTGCTGCTGTTGCAGCGACTGGTAGCAATAATTGTTATTTCAAAGGCTGCCGCAGCTTTATTATGGCTGCAGTTTGGAGTGCGGGGGTGCAGACGTGTGTCGTCAGTTTTCCGCTCTTGTTATTTTTACCTACATACGCAATTTTTTGCACCATGCGCCTGCATTTTCAAGGATGCTACCACCACCATCATCATCAGCAGCATCATTATTATCATCGTTGCCATCATCAACAACAGCACCAACAGCTGTGCTGCACACAGTCGACATCAATGGACCGATCCATAGCCCAGCAATGCCGCACAAGCGGAAATGTCGAGTCGTATCTGTGTCGCTGTGGGCTCAACGTACACAACAAGAGTGCACCATAAAGTGAAAGCGGGGGGGTGTGTGCTGCAGAAACAGACAGAACAAACGACCACAATTGCAACGGGCTGGCTGTTGCGGCGGGTGGTGGCCGGGCGTGCACTCCGGACGAAAAGCCTTTAATCGACAGCAACATATTCGATTTTAATATTCATATGCCGCCATAAATTCACAACAACAAAGGCGTTGTATGGACCGTGCAATATATGAGGGCGTTGATATGGCCACACAGACACACGTACGGAGAAATACGTGACTGCCATGCCTCATGTTTTGTGATATATTGGGGTCTTTCGGACAGCTGTTGCTGTTGCTGGCACTTCATGAAATGCACTTTTCAACAGCAGCGCCTGCTTTTTGGATGCAATTATGCGTTGCTTTTGTTGTCATAATTAGCAGCATTGCACATAACTTATTTATATTTTGATACTCTGGACCTAAACACTCTTCCCTCTCTCGCCGCCTTCTATTTAACCTGATTAAAAACTCGAAAAGGGCTAAATATTTTTCACTGCAGGCTTGCAAGTCATGATAAAAACAATCTAATTTAATAATTACCTTGGAAAATGTGCACATGTCAGCTTAATTGCTAGTTTAAGGCGTGACCTTTTGGCCAGCCCTAGCCTAGCTAGACAATACTTTTCCATGATAACTATAGGCTTTAGGGAAATCCTTGCTGTCCGTCTCATATGTCTAAGACTTGTCTCCTTGATTAATCATATAGCCGAACTGAATGTTGCTGTGTCTGGTTAAATTGGCGGTTGCTGTGCAGCACTTTAAAGTGTCTCCGAGTAGAAAATGAAATGTGGAACACATGCACTAGAAATTAAACAAACACCTTCTCAACCCGCTATCCAATTGGATCAGCCATATCAGAATGTGACGCTCATTACTACAACAACACTGGCAAAGAGGGCGCACACACACAACCGGCTGTTGGTGCTGATGATGCTGACACCCTTTGCTTCCGTCTGCGTCGTGCACTTCAAAAACTTAACCGTTAGGCATATGCGTGATTATCTCTCTCCGCCAGTGTCCGACAGCAGCGGCAGCAACCCCCTTGGCAGCAGAAGAAGAAGAAGCAGCAGCACTAGCAGCCCTCCAACAATTGCGCGCTGACCCAGTTACCCGGCAACAAAGGCGGAAGCAAAGGAAACATGTTGAAAGAGCCGAGACAGCAGCAAGGTAGGGGGAGAAAGAATAAAAAGGCACATGTCATCATAGAAATCAGTGAGGAGCGCTGGGCAGCAGCAGGAACGGCCGCTGGCAACAGAGGCAACGGCTTATGGAAAATAGAAAGGAAAAAGGCGCTGGGAAAATTCATTAAAACGGACCAGTGTGCTAGCTAGGATGGGACAGGGGGCAAGGGAAAGGATTGGGCATGGCAACAATAGACAATGGTCCAGTTGGGTCCTGGGGCTTATCAGCCGGGCCATATGTGCACATGCGTCGCAGAAGGACACAGTTCATAATCAAATATTTAGCATACTTTTTAGCAGAGCATGCGAGCATATTACAATAACATTTCCGGTCAGCTTGACAGACAACAACATCAGTTGCAGTCATGTTTAAAGTGGGGGCATTGGCCCCACAAAAACCCCATGATGCGTGTAATGCAATGATCCGCAGAGAGAGCCCGGGCAAATCCCCAATGAATGCCAGTTGGCCGGCACTTGGGAGCGTTAATGTGCCATAACGAATGCATTAGAGACATTCCAACTTTGCCGAGTTGTAAGCGTTGTAAAGGGAGAACATTTTAAAATTTAATTACTACAAGCGCTCGCTCGTTCGCCTGCGCAGTGTATGTGCATTGACAAAATGAGAATGAAAAGGGCTGCCCCAATAAAGCGGAAGCCTCCCAAAGAAGTATGCTACAAATTCAGAGTTTAGCCCCAAACCATATGGCACGCACAGAAGAAAACATATGTTGCTGCCTCCGTGGCCATATAACAATACAATACCCAAGACAGACGGGAGGGAATAGCAACAGCTTCTCTGATATCATTACTCAACCAACAAGCCACAAAAACACGTACACACACTCACACACATACTGAGAGAGGCATGCGAGTTTCCGTTTTGTTGGGGCGGTGTGTGCGTGTCATGTTCGTTTTTTGTCTGCGCTTTGCGCGCTTTTACTCCCTCTTCCGCTCTCTCTTTCTCTCTCGCTCACTCTCTCTGTTTGTCTCTCTCGCCTTGTGATATTATCAAGTGAAGTGCTTTTGCGGTTTTTGCCGTTGCTTTGTCTATCACATACACACATACAGACACCCACCTCTGCTATTTCGCCGCGAACTGCTGATATATTTCGCTGTGTGTGTGTGTGTGTGTGTTTGTGTGTGCGTGCGTTTTGGCTTTGTTATTATTAGTATTACCACATGTTGTTTTTGTATTTAAGCTAATTCTTTTATGTCCATAAAACGTGCAGCCACATAAAAATAAAAACCAAACAGCAAACAACAAACGACAAATAACAAAAGCAAGGCAACACCAAAGCAAAGCGCCGCCTCATGATAAGCCAAGTGGCGAATTCAAGCGTAGTCAGCATTGATAGCAACCAGCCAGTCAGCCAGCCAGCTTACCTCATTCTCCCTCCCATCCTCTTGCCCGTAATCGTATAAAGGTGCCTACTTCACACAAAATTACCCTTTTCAATTTGCCCGCCGTGTGGTACAGGAGATGACTGTGGCAAGCATCGCTTCCCCTTTGTCTGTGCTGCTCGTTTATTGACTTTTTGTCATTGCTGCTAATGCATATAGCAGTAGCCAGCAATAGCAGCATACACTCGCACACCCAGCAGCGGCAGCTTTATTTTTATAGCTCGCATTACGTTTAATGTTTGGCTTAACTTAGTTACTCTCGATGCTCGACTCTGGCTCTGACTCAGACTCCGTCTCCAACTCTGTCTTTGGCATTGTCTTTGCACTCGTGAGTGCGGTAATTAAGTGTCACATGTAATTACAATACACTTCTGCATGTGCTGCATGCAACATGGCTTTGTAATTAGAGTTTAGCGGCAATATTAGCTCTTAACATTCACTACATAACAAAAACTAAGCCAAAGCAATCACCACTCGCTTTCTGTAGCCGCATTCTGGTTAATTTCAATGAATATTCTGTGAGCTTTTTGCAATTATTTACCTCTCGCAAATCCCAACTAATAACAGGCGAAAACAACAAAAACGGAAGAAAAAAACTCCCTGCTTGTTTGCCCAACCGTTGCAGTTGGAGAATTTACGCAAACAGCTTTACTTAAATAGAACTTGGTTCTATTTGCATAGCTGTGGAGTGCGAATCATGATTAGCTGCACGCGGGCTGTTCGCTCTGTTATTAAACAGGAGATGATGAAAATTAAATCTTTAAGCAGCCTTCTATATGTTAATATAAGAAACGTCTTTCGCTTTGATGCATTATTATATGGCTTTTCAAAATCCAATGGACATATGCATACATTTAATTAAGTGCTTGTTGACCTTTGCCTATTTGACTCAAATTTTAAATTGATTGCAAACGCTTTTTTCTTAAATGTCTTCTCTGATCCCGTGTAAGATATGTATTGTCAAACTGTTCTTAATAATAGACATTCATTTAATTTTTATTTATAAATTCTTTTTTATTTCATGTCTTAATCAATTTAAAAGCCCTTATAGCCCTTAAAGGCTTAAAAATATTTTACAATTTAAAATTAATAAATAATGAATATGAAATAAAGTAAAATATTACTAACAGAAAATAAAATAAATAAATTACAACATCCCGATCACTAATAAAATGGACGCCCATCAAATACTGCTATTAATGCTCGAAAATGCACGGAAAATAAATTTATTTCTTGTGCTATCTAGGTTCTTGACTTAAGAATTATTGCATTATGTAGAAATAAGTAGAACTAGTTGCCAATTTCACATTAAACTGCCCTCGTCTAATGCTGTATCATATAATCTAATGCAATTTACCGCGCACCCTTTTATGTTGACTTAGTTAGCTCAAGTTAACCCAAACAGAAATGCAAAGCTCGCTTAAGCACCACTTAAATTTCACTCAATGCTAAAAAAAAAAAATATAAACAATAATAGCAATAACAACAAAAACAGCTCACCTGAGCTGAATCTCTGTAATTTACTTAACTTGCGTAAATATTAAATATTTATATTGTTCTCTTCTCTTTTATTTTTCTCTTTTTATGTACCGTAATCGTATATACTTCATCTACCACACACACAACTACAAACTTGCCTACCTGCCTACCATTCAATTAAACTCAACTCAACTGAATAAACTGAAACCATCTTCAACTTCTCTGCTGTGCTGTGCCTCTACATCATCAACTACAACTACAACCACAAATACTATTAACATAACAACTACAAAAAAACCAACCGTTGCCCGCACCAAAAAACTGTCTCCAATGCGAATGCATCTGTATCTTTTTGTGCGTTACTGTGAACCTGTGCCTGTGGGGCCATGCAGCGCGGAAGCGACGAACTTTTGAGTCAAGCAGCAGTCATGGCGCCCGCTTCCGACAATAATAATCAGGATCTGGCCACAAAGAAGGCCAAACTGGATTCGAGCACCGTGCTGGCCGGCGGAATTGGTAAGTTTTATATATTTCTCTGCACGCTCTCTGTCTCTCTCTCTCTCTCTCTTGCTCTCCTATCTCTTAATGTCTGCCTCGCAACTTATCTGTGCCTCTAGCTTAACTATACCCTTACCTATGCCTTTACCTGCCTCTCCGTCTGTGTTGCGCCCACATAAACCCATTTTATGGCACGCCTGGGCCGCTCAACTTAAGTGCACTTTGCAGCCATAGTTTAGGCCAGGTTGGGCTGCCAATTAGCCACCGCCGCCGCCGCAGCCCGCGCTGCGTGCATTAGCCAATGCCAATGGCATAATCCTGCTTAAGCCAGTGCCGGCCACTTGGCTACTTGTGACAGACGCTCGAGTATGGGACACGCATTCGCGACTGGTCTTATAGCCAATTAACCCGCCAATTAGCATGGAAACAAACATTTCGACGAGGCCTTTGTTGTTGGTCGCAAAATATGAAAAAGTGTAGTATAGCCGCCACGTTGGCGTTCTAAGCAGCCCAGCTTGGCAATTCCAGCACATTAATTAGCCCTACGCACACAAACACAAACACCACCAACGCCACCACCAAATACAAAGCGTGTGCGTGTTAGCTGGCGCAAAGTAATAAAGCTAATCAAAAACCACTCGCGCCAGAAACCAAAAACCCGAACCTGAACCACACATTAGGCAAATATTTGACAAGCGCCCGTCACAGTCGCTGTTTAAACCAAAAGTCGAAACCAAAAATCAGTCAGCCACAAAATGATTTTAAATATCAACAAATCCATGCGAACACATTTTTCATGCACACACACACACATGCACAGCTATAAATGCCAATGTAATCACAAAGGTCGAACCACCAGACATTCACAAATGGCTATCAAAATGAAAGCACCTTTTGGTTTCCATAGATTTCATTAGAATTGAGCTGAAAATTAATACGCTTTTGGTTTTTCCAATTAGCAGTCCTTTAAAGCGCGTCAGTTAACTGCTGCGTCACAATGTGAATCAATGGCAGCATATGGTTGAATAGAAAAAAAACGTAAGCTTTTTAACGGGTTGTGCTGCCCGCCCTCCAGTCAGACAGGAGATAGTCAAAGGACCTCAAACACACACCCTCGCACACTCACACACAACACACGTACGAAGTGAGTGGCAATCGAGAACGCAACGAAAATAAACGCAAAAGCAAAAGCATAATATTTATTTATTACTCTACAAAGGACTTTTCTATTAATTAAAAAGCAACAAGCTCTGTCCCCTCCACACACACACACACACACACACACACACACACACACACACATTGATACATACGCACTGTTGGCCAGTTGGTAACTGGCAAAGAGTTGCAGGCGTTCATTGTTTGAATGGCCGGTCCAGACGCAGACGACCCAGCGGCATTTGAGTGCCAACTCATGCATACAAACGAAAGCAGTCGGGCAGGCTGATCGGGCTGGTAGTATGGATAGAAACATGGCTGGTAGAAACCGTGGACTGCTGCTTGGGAATCCACCTCGACTTGACACCTGCCGCACGCCACATGCCACCTGCGGCCTTTTTAATTTTCCACGCAAAGTTCATGCGCAACACAAAGCATGGCAAAATTTTTAAAGTCATGAGCAGCTTAAGGTTGAACAGACAGAGAGGAACAAAAGCAGCAGGCGAGAATAAGAAGTGCCACTGAAAATCCAATAAATTCATTTGTATTTGTTGTGCGTGTGTCCGTGTATGTGTGTCTCTGTGTGTGGTAGCTCGCATGGAAACCACTTAAAGCTGACGCACAAAGGCAAAAATACGTTGCCGATGCCGAAAATAATAACAAAAGAAATTGTTAAATAAATGTGTAAGGACACTTTTATTGCATTGCCGTACTGAGCCAACAAAAATTACAACAAAAACCACAAAACACAACAACAAATGCCAGACAAGTAAATAGGCAGCATCCACAAAAGCAACAAAAAGCATTGTGTGGCCAGCCTTAGACAAACAGACGCACACACTGACATACATACCAACACACACACAGCAACTGCCAAAAATTGTTTTTTTTTGTTTTTTTTTTTTTTTGGTGGTCTGGCACGCCCCAAACGCTAGGTAGTGTATTCATTCAACGTCCATTGGCCACTGCCTGTTGTCAATTGTATTTGTATTCTATACTAAACCAATACACTGAGCAACGTTTCCGTTACACGAGCTTAGCCATCGAACATGCAACAAATTTTGCACGTAAATGTAATAAAAACACTTTTGGCCCAATGCCCCACCACGCCCGACCACTTCAAGTGAGTGGTGTGTGTGTGTGTGTGTGTGTGTGTGAGTGTGTGTGTGTGTGTGAGTGTGTGTGTGTGCGTGCGAGAAGCACTCTTCGAATAAGTGGCCACGCTCCGTTCGGCTCATCTTACAATGCAAAGCGCACACAGTTTTCTATATACATGTATATATGTATATATTTGATATATTTACTTTTTTCTTATGCCTCAAGTTCCGTTTGTTCATGTAATAAATACTCGCATTTGCTTAGTAGCGTTTGATTTATTTTGTTTTGATTATTATGCATATTTTATGCAAGCCAAATTAGACCCCTGGGACTGAAGCTTGAGACCCGATGCCGGCTAATTCGAACCACGCTAAAAACGCAACCAAACCTAAACAAAAACTCAAAACGAACTAAACCAAGCCGACTCGAGCTAAGCCGTGGCAATGTCGCGTGTCTGGTCTGGGACAGCAGCATGTGTAGCCATTGATGTTGTTTTTGTTGTTGTGGTCGTTGCCGCGTGCTTGTTGTTTATTGTTACAGCCTTCGCACACACACATATGATACACAAAGCCATACATACGAACGAGTATATATATGCATGCATGTAACCAAGCCATGTTTGTCCAGCACCGCCAATATTTGTTTGTTTATTGACCGATTTGGGGGCGACTATTGGTCAACAGGCATTAGAGTTCAAGGTGTTAAAACGCAACGTTCAAAATAAATGTACAGAAAATAAAACCAATCGTCTATGGACATGCATAGATGTTTGGTGTAGGTATATGACTAAATATATAGGCTTAGAGCAAAATTTTTGACCTTTTTGGAGCTACTGAAAGGGGATCGCCGACAACAATTGATTAGTCTGAGCTGTATTATATTAGGTAAAAACTAAAACCTGTTCCACTCATGGGGAAGCCTAAACAATAAAATTGAAATCTTTATTGAAAGCTGTTAGGCTTTTTAATAATACAATCAAATGTAGTTTATCGTAATTTTAGAAAATGATAATACACATACAGAAAATATAAATTAAAAAAATTAATATATATATATCAGCGTCCAAATTCACTTGGTCAGTGAACAGGCTAGGAAAAAAAGTTTGCTTATCTGTGATTATATATATATATATATATATAAGCAAACTTTCTTTCCTAGTCTGTTCACTCACCAAGTGAAATCCGTAATGTTAAGCTGACATCATTTTATAAACTCAATTCAATCAGCCAGACAAGCACACGCATCAGAGCCAAGTCAAGTACTCGACCATTTTTATAGCCATAACCAAAAGGGCAAAGCTTGGAATGTTTTTGCACTGCAAACTGCGTGCTGTGCATGCAGCGACCAATGCGTCCTCATTGTCCTGCATGTGTGTTTTGTGTGTGCGTGTGTGTGTGTGTGTGTGAGTCTCCTGTCTGACGGCGCGTGCCGCCTTGTGTCTCGGATATCGCAGCACTCTCGCACGTCTGTTGCGTGTAAATATTTTCACAGTCAATAAAATAATATTGTCATATTTATTTGTAAGCGGCGCCGTCAACGTCTGTGTAAATATTGAGAGAGCACTGGAAACCAGAATAAAAATCAGAATTTGCACTTGGTCAGCGGCAACAACAACAGCTGAAAGGCAAACACACAGTCCGTTGATGTCAATTGGTTATGGGCTGTGGTCCAGTGCGATCATTTATGACCGGCACTGTGAGTGCCGGCTAGCTGAACGTGCATTTATTGTCATTATTTATATGGGTTGACTTTTGACTTGCGGCTGCCACAAGCCGCATGTCCAATGTATATTCACATATATATTACTTAATTAAACATACGACCCGCTGCCTGCTTAGCCCTGCAATTCATAGCATACTTAGCAGCGCAGCAGCTGCTACTGCAACTGCAATAGCTTTAAACCGTAGTTCGTGATTACAAACTGCAAATGAAGCGGAAAAAGCGTTGCCGAGCACTTGCCGCTGCTCCTCGACTCTATGCACTTGTAATTTATGCAATTGATATACTTCATAGAACTACAACCCACGTAGTTGGACTCCCACCCGAATGCGCCACTTGACTGCGCACAGAACATAGAATCTGCGTCTGCTTTTACCAGACTGCATTCTACTTCTGCAACGTAGTCTGGCAGCACTAAAAAAAGAAAATGAAAACTATTCCCGTAATTGAAATGCAATTAAAATTTATAAACGTCCTCAGCCTTTGCGTGCGTTGACTTCTCGCATACAGTGTCTCTTTCCCTTTCCCCCCGCTCCTTCAGCCTTGTGTCTATGTGCTAACAAATTTTTAATGAATTACATTACTTGCGGGTGTTAGGCTCGTGCCTTGGCTGTAGCAGAGGCAGAGCAGCAGCAGGATAAAAAATCGTTATTTTCAATTATGGCTGGCCTGAAAACAGAAATGTACTTGGCTAAATTAAGAAGGAGGGAACTCAAACATCGCTGCTGGCGTTGGGTTTCAGTTGTTGGTAAAAACTTGTGCTATGATTGATTATGCGCAGACAGATGTTTAAATTAAAGACAACGCGCTGGCAAAGTAAATATCATTAAGTCATTACGCATGCACGCACAAGACACACACACAGCAAGTTGTTGGCCAACAATTTAAAATTTATGATGTGTGAGCCTGTAAAAACCTAATTTACTGTCGCATAATTAAAGCCAAAGCGTGTTTGCGTGTGTGAATATTCAAATATTGGTAATAATCACACAGACATACAAACATTGGCGTCACGCTTACATTAAATCATTAAATGCCGCGACGTAAGCACAAATTTAATTGTTATTAACAATCAGCATATTTTTCAAATCCACCCCCCACATTTACCTGGGTGTAGAGATGGTGGGGCAGCTACTTTTGGGTTGAACGGCGGTCTGTGTTTGTGGAGCTGACCATTTATCGTATTTTTTCGTGGCTTTGTTTCAACTGTCGACGCTCGACGCGCTTTTCCATTCATTTTCATTTACATTTTTCGTTTGGGGTTTTTGTTTGCTTTATGAATTTAAATTGTCATTAATTAACTTTGTGCATGTTGCGACCGTTAAAGCAAAGAAAAAAAAACCATATGCACTGCTCTCAAATTATTACACATACGCCGCATTGTTCGATCGCAAAAGCAACAACTACAAACAGCATATGGACATGGAACATGAAACAGCTGACCATCCGTTATTTCCATGCGCACACCGGGGCCAACTCAATTACAGTTTGTAAACTTTTCAATTAGCCATAAATAGTTTATATGTACATATATATTTTCATGCAATTCATCGATGGCCGAGGCGTGGCCCGACATGACGCTGCATGTGTGTATGGGCTTAATTGAAAGGTGCCCGGTTGCCGCCCCATAAGGATATTGTGCGTGTCATTAATACAGTTGAGCTTTAGTCGCGCCTTCCATTGCAGCTCATTTTAATGCGATGCAACAGTGCGTATGATTGTTATTTATACATCCATGCGCCAACACGCAACAAGCATCATTATCGAATGCAAATTTTATTACACGCACACTCTTTATTTTTCGCTGTGCTTGGCATTTAACGTGTGTATGGGTGCGTGATTATTTTAACAGCACGCCCCTCAGGTTAAACGGTTTTTGTCTTGAAAGTGAATAATTTATGCAGCCACCTTCTAAAGATATTGTAAGATTTCGTATCGAATACCAGCATACCAGATTCCCAAAAAGAACTATAAAATGATAACCTATTTTAACATATGTACATACCAACAAGTTATACGTATATTCTTGGCAAGCTCTCCAAACTCCTTAAAGTACTCAAAAAATGCAACAGAGACTCGCTCACTTCAACAAAATTGAGCCGCAGGGCATGAGGCACCAGTCGCATTGAGCCCGACTGAAAATACCGAACATTTTTTTCAATTCAGTTGCTCGTTTTCGGCTGCAGCTGTCTGCTCCAGGGCCTTGTTGGCTGTGTTTCCGGCCGTCGTCGACTCGTCGCCATCTTCCTTTTCAATTATGCCCTCCGCTGCCTTTATGTTCAGGTCAGGTGATTGGCTGGGAGGAGATGTATGAGTTGGGAGGGAAGCCCGGCGGCAACGCTCGCCGTTGAGTGAATGTCGATGGTAGTCGATTTGCTCATTGCACTGACGTAGTTTCTCGCTTTCACACCATCAGGCAGCATTTGTTGCGATTTGTTACAAACTCCCCCTCGTTGCGGCGCAAAGCGACAGCAACAGCAACAAGAACAACAACAGAAACAAAAGCAACAACGTCGCAGTTTCAACTGCTAGTGGAAAACAAACCTAAATTGAGTTGTTGATGGCGAACGTCAAAAAATCCACAAATTTTCGTTTCGCGCGTTTTCAGTAGATTTCATTTTTTCAGTTTTTCTTTTTTTTTCAATTTTTTTCATTTATTTTTTTGTTTTTTTTGTTTCGCTGCTCGTTGACAGCGTCATCATGCATGATAGATAGTTTTACATATTTTCAGTACCGTCGTTTTTTCCGGCAACTGCCCAGCGGCACTTGATTTGTTGTTTGTCTTGTGCAGCACGTTTCCGTTCTATTCGCTTTTATTTCGTTTTTCTAATACTCTCACTCAACTGAGATAAAGTTGGTATAAGAGCACATATGGTATTTGATAAGCAACTGCAGAAATCTCCCACAAAATATATAGCTGTCATTTAATACAAACATTCCGTTAAGCAAATGCAAAAAATTTCAAATATTAAGAATATATTTTGGTCGAGTTTTATCCCCTTGGTGCAGGTATATTTTAGTCGAGTAAGTTGCAGCTCTTTATTTATGGGCAGCGGCGCTCGGCCGGTACTTGGCCATCGATTTTTAATAAATTTATGAGCTGCCAAAAGGTTGAGAGCGGCTAAAATGCCGTGCACTTTGGTTTGCTTCTGCCCTGCATAATTTCGTTTCAACTTCATTTCCGTTCCGAACTAATCAAAAAGTGTAATTTCCGATTAGTTGTATTCACCATCAAATGCTGCGCCACGCTGACCAAACTGCAGTTGAGAGGCCGAGTCGAGCCGAGTCCCCTCTCAAAGTTGGCATGACTTTTACTTCAAGTTGGCCTGAATGGCCAGCCAGTTGGCCCAACGATGGATGGATTGGGGCTCTGTGCCTATTTTTCATTTATTTCTTCACTTTTTTTGTTGCTCATTGTTATAAATTGGCACATTGACCCATGCAGGTTGGCGGCGATTTAAAGTTTGCGTCTAGTTGAACAGCAACAGGAACTAGGGCGGCAGCGGAAACGGGCCGACAAGCATATCGAGACTGGGTCGGGTAATGACCCTTTTATGTGTTAAGCTATTATTAGTAAGGACCTAGTGAAAGCAGCTAACAGTAAGCTAGTAGGTTAGTTAGTAAGTAGTTATTAAGCGCTGCTGATAAATATGAAGAATTGAAGGGATCTTTGGTGGAGCTGTGTTAACGTAGACAAAATAATAACTTAAGCTTAGTAAATGTAAAATTTAAATACTTAAAAAAGAAGGCAAAGGCTCTGGGCCTTTACCTAACTTAAGCGTTTTGATCTAGGCATGATTCACGATAAGCAGTCTTGAATGGATGAAAGGATGTGCTGATAAATAAGGGTACTTATCTGGCAAGCTTATCAATTGTCATGAGTACCCAGTTCAGTGCAACTTCTGAGCTCCGCTAAAATCTGTCGTACAAAAATGAAATGTATACGCTGGACCGACCTCTTGTATATCTTAAGGCGTTTCCATCGCACTCATCTGCTTCTTTAAATACTCGTACACAGTACTATCGAATTTCTTGAGCTAAGGATTTTCCAAAGGGCTTACCTCTTTTTCCATAAAGTCCTGCAACTCGTTCGTCGCCCACTTCTTCTTGGGCCCATCCATACAGTTCGTGGGTGTTAAAAAGCACTCTTTAAAATCCATTTCAAATTTAAATGCAGCAAAGCTCAAATGCTGGCAGTCGGCAGGACAAAGTGCAAATTCCTGTGGCAAATGCCGTTTTTGCCATTGGCTTTGTCGCGAGCTATCTCTTGCACATATTCTGTTTGCTTGTTTAGCAAGTGCGGTAAATACTGCAAATACACACACGACGACAGCTATGAAAAAACATACAAATACAAAAACCAAACCAAAAACTGTGCACCAATGTGTTTGCAACATTTCATTTGCATATGATGGGGCACGCTCACAAGCACGCATTCGCACACACACACACATAAAAGAAAAACCCAGCACATTAACAGGTGTTGACTAAGCACCAGCTAGACAAGCTGCAGTCGGCGCCACCTCCACTGCCCAGCACTCGCGGTGTCAGTTGTTGCGGCCGGCAGCAAGAGCAGCAATACATATAAACTTTTTTTTTATAAAGCATGTGCCATGCCAGCAAATTTGTTTGCTTTTGTTTATAAAAATTTAAGGCACTTTAGACAGATGTGCAATGGGGTCGCAGCGAAATCCCTAAAATGCTCTCTGCCGGCCAACAACAACAGCCTAAAATCCCATTTGTGCACCCCTGTTGCAATGCAGCTCAACGGTGGAGCCACTTTATTTATGCAAAAATAACAAACAAACACCAAGCTGGCAAACGAACAACTACAGCAAAGACAATCGTTGTCTATTGGCGTGTGTGTGTGTGTGTGTGTGTGTTTGTATTTGTGTGTTGGGCTCGAACCTGGCTGGACCAGACCGGACATTGTCGCTGTGTGGATTATTCACAGTCAGAGAGTGCAATGAATGAATTTATGCGCCAGGCTGTTGCCGCTTCCCCTGCACCTGCTAGTCCCTTGCCCCTTTAGTGTCCATGCAACGCCGTCCATGTATACAAATGCCGCAACGTTCGCCATGTTATCGGGCCTTTTATTTGGCTTGTTCACAGTGAGAGAGAACAAAATGCATGAAAAAACAACAATAAGAACGTGAATATTAAGCGACGCACGGAAGCGGAAGTACTGACGGCGAACGGTGCCGTTTGGCATGGCAGCTGTTAATATTTTAAGCGGCTTATTAATTAGTTGACCCACCCACTCAGCCACTCACTCACCATACATATTGTATATCTCTCTCTCTTTCGCTCTATAAATTTTACTTACGCATACTCGTACATTCTCTCTTTGCAGCCAAAGCCTCGAAAGTCATTCATTTGCGCAACATTCCAAACGAATCTGGTGAATCGGACGTAGTTGCACTTGGCATACCATTCGGACGTGTGACAAATGTCCTGGTGCTGAAGGGCAAGAATCAAGCATTTATTGAAATGGCCGACGAGATATCCGCCACATCGATGGTATCCTGTTATACAGTGAATCCGCCACAGATGCGCGGCCGCATGGTCTACGTGCAGTTCTCCAATCATCGCGAGCTCAAGACGGACCAGAGTCACAATGTAAGTGTATGCAAAACGATAACTAAAACAAAACTCTTTAAGCCAAAACTTATAAGCAACTAAATCAGTTGGCCTTAAGTGTTATTAATGTGGCAATTAAGTTTCGGTCTGAGGCAAACAACGATTTATATGCAAATGTTGTTGCTACTGTCTCGTTATTATGTGGGTCGCTCACTGATTAATTACAATCTCTTGGGCAACTTAATTCCCCCAAGACACACACACACACACACACACACTCACATATGTTGGCCATTCATAAATGCTAAGGGATATTTGTCAGTGACGGTCCAAACCAATTTCTAATTTTAATTTCGTAAGCCACAAAGTCACTGCCAAAGTTTAAAAAGCTTTCAAATAAATACACAAACCCGCACACAAATACGAACACAGTTACAGATAAATGTAGATATGCATATACATATACATAAATATGCGTGTATATAGCTGGCACACATGCCTGACAAAAGCAGTGAAATGCATAGTTTTTGGGGTTTTGTGGCCAAAACATATACACACTCATACATACACTAACGGACTATACACAAATGAAAACCACAAGGCTCTAGCCACACATAGACATTCCGAGATACGAACAGACAAACGTACGGCAGCTGCTTAGCACAAAGTCAAAAGCATATTTTGATTACTTAAATGAAAGCAGCAGCAGCAGCAACAACAACAACAAGAACAACAGCAGCAACAAAGTGCGCAATATTGTTGTTGTTGCCTGCCGAAAAACCCCAAAACGACGTTGTCACCTTTTGCGTGTGTGTGTGTATGCGTATGTGTGTGCTTGTGTGCACCACCTGCCTCTCGGCTTACGTAGCTCACATTGTAGCCCAAAATGACCCCAAGCAAAACTACTTAAAAAGAGATCGTCAGTCATGTGCTGCAACAACAGCTACAACAGCAACAAAAAAGGTTAAGAGGCTGCAGCAACTGAGCAGCAACAACAATGCCAGTAGGCGTGCCTATGAATAAGGTGACATCAACAACAACAACAGGAGGAGCAACAACAGCAGCAGCAGCAGCAGCCAGCGCTAACGTCATGGCCAAACAATACAGTTACATTTTACTGATTACCTTTTGGCTGTGCCAGCGTGTGTGCGTGGGTGTGGCCAGATTTCTCTTGTTAACTACTAATCCTGGTAAAAGGCCTTGTTGCTGCCATCGCTCCCAGTCCCAATGAGAAAGCAGACAACGCAGACGAGTGGAAAAGTCAACGCCGCTGTCGTTGCTTTTGCTCTAGTGGAAAATCTCTGTGTGTGTGTGTGAGCTTAATCTTGTGTGTAAAGCTCTTCTTGACTGTCATTGGTGTTTTTGTTGTTGTTGTTACCGCTTTTGTTGTTGCCGCCGCTTGGCCAACATATTTATACAATTTCTCATTTCATTCACTTTTCTTTTTCTTTGCTCCCTTTTTTTGGTATGTGTGTAAGTGTGTGTGCCCTGCTGCCCATTGTCAACACATCTCGAAAAATATGTTGTGATTGTGTGTGCGGGTTTTTGTTTTGGCCTGTTGTGCAACTGCTGTTTGGCCTCGCATTTTAAGAAGTGTCTTCATTGGCTTTTGTATAGCGCCGACTTCGTCTCCACCTGGCGCTACCATTGCGCTGATTGCTCAACGTCTTCGCTGTCAGTCTCGAGTTTTACTTTCATCTTCTTTTTGTTAAACGCAGCAACGTGCACAGTTGCAGATAAGATGCTCAGCGTAGTGCTGTTGTCATAGCTGAAATAAAAAAATAACGCTCAAGGAGCCAGCAGCAACAGCTGTCCGCGCAGCTGAAATATTAGTCAAGTGCTTTCCTCAACTTAACATTTTCGAGTTTATGTATTAGTTTTATTAGCTACTCGGCCAAATGCAGTTCGTGAATTCCAAATTGATATTGTTATGCACAAAGGACAGACAGTTCGCTTTGAATTACGTCTGCATAAGGCCCCTGTAGCGTAGGCAACAGTTTCTCATCAGAGCAATTGGCCATGTGAATCCTCAAATAGATATGCTTTAAAATATTCTTTTAAAGCCTTTTGGGCCAGGTAGGCAAGGTGCAAGCGGGAACTCAAATCCATTGCACGCCTTAAGGGATTTAACCCCACACGCACCTGAAAGCAAAGCTGCGACGACAACAGCAACAGCAGCAGCAACAGCAACATCAGCAGTAGCAAATCAGCAATACAGGATTTTCAAATCATCTGCTCACACACACATGCACATACATTTGCAGATTTCAACGCCTGAGTGATTGCGTCGCATAGAGAAACAGCAAAAAAAAATAAAAGAAATAGAAATAAAACAAAAGTAAGGGAGACGAGCGTACGAAAACCAAGTTGGCAGCATCAGAAATGAAAAACCCCGTAGCCCTGCGCGCCACTGACATTTATGTTGGCAATTTGGCAGTCAGGCAGCGTGGCTGTGCTATGCTGTGCCGCGTTGTGCTCGCATCGCAGAGCTGTGTAACAGGATTCTAATATGTCATGTCGGTTGGGACGTCCTTTCACCTATGCCGCTCAGCTCCCCCTACGTTGCCCTGCCCTGCTCTGCTGCTACTGCTGATACTATTTCCACTCCCAGGCACTTCAGGCAACAGTTGTTGTGACTATTTTCGTTGCTATTTACGTTGATGTCTTCTTCTTGCGCACGAGCATCTTAGAAGTACCTTCCCCATGCCACACACGTCACTCGCTTCAGCGACCAGGGCACTGGGAATGGGGCTAGGACTGGGTCAGGACACCCTTGGCTGGGATGCTTTTGCTGCGACTGCTGCTTGGAAATGAAGATAAATGCACTGGAAGTTCACGCGGTTACAACCACAACACAAGCTAGCCACAAATCCACAGAACACCAAAGCCCCCAAGCGGCCCCTTGTCTCGTAATGCCCCCCGCCTCGACCCCGCCCATCGCCTCTTATATTGCTTAGTGGCTCGGCTCAAATTTGACATGTGATTGTTTTGTCTTTGTCTGTAGCTGCGCATCTGTCCCTGTCTATGTATTTGTGTGTGTGTGTTTGTAATTTTGATAAATTAATTTTTTTAGCCGATCCCCAACAAACGAAAAAGGGTTGACATCCACTTGGGACCGGGTTCGGGACCGAGTTTGGAATTGCGCCGCAAACAAAACGAAATTGATTGAAATTTAATTTCAAAACAAAATCCCACGGACACGACGAGTGAGCGAATGTCTCTTGTGTAACATTTGCACTTGCGCCTAAAAGGCGGCAATGCATTCATTAAATTTAAAGCAAGTGACGGCCTCACACACACACACACTACACGAGCTAAAAATTAAAAACTTTGAAGCAATCTGCAAAAGGTGCACCAAACGGTTGCCTTTAATTTTAGTAATCGTCGTAATTGGCACTTGTGCGGTTGCAAACAACAACCCCGACACACAGCAAGCAGGGCACACAGGACGCAGGACATACGCGACAGTGACATTTCAATCGAAGAGCTTGCGGCACAGTTGTCGCTACTCGCAATCTGTGGCTCGCGCTATACGACGCACTGATTACAGGCAGTAACGCCTATCAGATATAGCTGCAAATGTGTATGAGTCTTTGTGTGTGCGTCGCTCCATAGTGGCCATTGCAGCAGGTGTTGGTTTTCCCTCTTGTGATAAGGTTACCTTGTGATTAAATTAAATTGCCGGCCACAGCACAGAAATAAAGCCCCGTTTGCTCAGTTGGCTTGGACATACCCTACGGTCAATGTCATATATTGGCCCATTGCATATAAGAAAGTGCTTGTAACATGTGCAGATTTTTAAAGCTGAAGCTTATATTTTCTAGCCCCAGTTGGTGTGCTTTTATCTACAAAATGTTATTGTTTATAAAACAATTTGCAATGCAAATTGTACTCAATGTTGAGTTATTTATTATTGAAAACTATTTTCAGGCAAGATTTGAAAATTGCATTGCATTGTTACAAAAATAATAATCTGAGGGTATATAAAGTATTCAATAAACGTGAATTTATACAGCCTTCCACATTAAAACTGGGAAATATTGTAGACATAGCTTTCAAAATATTGTTCTTTTATTTTTTAATATCATTTTTCTTAATCGACACTGCTAACAACCTAATAATATACATGTTTTATCATTGAAGTGAACAATTTTCTTATTAACAATAAATTAGGTTGAGGCAGATTATTTATAGCAGTGCTCGTTATTTTGGCGTACAAATATTTCCATCGCAGGAATAAAGGTGACCACAACTTTCTACCAAGAAAGTGCACAATGTCAATTAATAGAAAAAATATAAGAGAGAAAAAATCACGTCAGCATTAGTGCCAAACACAAAATGAGATTAATGTGGACAATATTTGACGTGCTGTTTCTGTATTCTGTGGTGGTGGGGGCTGCGTTAAGACCAGAGCGCAGTTAACACCGCATGGGTGTTAAGGCGGCAGCAACTAATACAAATGTCAAGCGATTAAGCCACAAAAAGGATCAAGCTGATTAGCAAAGGCTTAAGCAAATGCGAAACATGTTGCAGTTGCTGCGAAACTCGGCATCACTGGCAACAGCGCACGAAGAAGGAGATTAAGAAATGTTAGAGTCTGCCCAATCGATTTGTCGTTAATAATATGAGCCAAGCTCAGAGGCCTCACTATTTATTTAATTTGTGCTGCGGCCTGACAGCCGCTCGATGCCTGACGACAGCTAGAAGCTTCCTATTTTTAGAGGTGTTGGGCGAGTCCTGGGCCAGGAGCTGGGGCTTACTTACACGGATTCATATGAGGCATTTTACTCTGGCAGGCTATTTGTTCTACTCTCAATACTGAGGCGTGTGCAGTTAAAGGCTTTCGCTGCGGCAATAACTTCACACATGTGCATATATTTGTATATCTGAATGTGTATGTGTGCGTGAGCGTTTGGGTGTGTGTGGTTAAGCGGCTCTATCTGCACGTTGTTTATTTTCTATGAGTTGCCTTTGTTTTTCTTTGCCGCTGCCTGTTGTCATGTGTTGTTGTTTTCTTATTTTATTTCACGTTTACTTTTGCCAGCATCGTCTGTCGAAAGCAAAAGTGAGCTAATCTTATTGTTTTCACAAGAACGCGAACGCGCAGCTTCTACAATAGCTTGTTGATCCTTTGAGTTATGTGGCAGGATGCCAGCCGCTGCTGCGTGTACCCTCCTGATATCCCGTACAGTGTTTGCTTACACTCCAGTCGTTTGCCAATTTGATTGGTGACGCTCTGGCGTGCTGAAAATGGATTTAAATTACATTGTTTCACACACTCGTCAGAAGTACGTGAGCAAATTTGCGAGCAGCAAGGATAAAAGGAGCAACAAGACGGCAGCAGTAGAAATATCAACAATAACAACGGACAACTTATTTTACATGTGTCGTGTTTGCACTGACTTTTCAGCAACAATATTTTCATTGTATTGATTAGTTCTCTTCTCCCTGTCTATGTTATTACTGCCTAAAAGTATGCTACGTTTTATTTGCGTTTGTCTGCGTAATGTTTTCCTCTTTCGTGTTTTTGTGTTTGCTTAGTTTTAGGCTAGGGATAACGTAGGATTTACTGTGGTTCTCTTTTGGCATATTTGTTTATGCAAAGTTTTTGGTAAGCGCTTTCAACGCATTTGGGCTGTAGCCCATATTTGTGTTCGCCATAAATAAGACGTACACAGAGTATGCTGTGGTTACGTCTTTAGCAGCACTCAGCTAACCAGCGTTTTTTTGTGGGTTAGTGAAGACTCTGAGCTCAGCTCAGGCCAGTGGCCGCAAAAAGTATGCGAGCAGCTCAAGGAGATGAGGGGCACTGGCAACAGCCACGCCAAAGTATGTAGTAACACATAATCCACAGCTTAGCTTTAAAACTTAACTGCACAAGTTCATAACTTCTGCTGGCCCAACCATCCCCTTTTGCCAAATAAAAAGTATGAGGAGCCAAGTTGGCAACCGCACAAAAGTGGCAACTCACAACTCACTTCTACATCCTTGATGCACGCATGCGGGCGCAGAAGGAAGAAGGAGTGGCAAGAAGCTCGCTGCCAGCCGCCTAGTATTCTCACTCACTTGGCTCGCCACTTAAGCCAGCAACTTGCTTCGGCTTGAGCCACTTTGCCACGGCGTGACCAGTTTCTGTAGTGCATGTTGCCCGGGCACTGCACATCTTAAGTGTGCCCAAAAAGTCAAGATGGGGAGCTTCGAGCAGGGAGTGGTTGGCAGTGTGACATTGCAACGAAAATAGGCGCACGCATCTCTGAAACAATAATATTTATGCGAAGCGCTAAGTGAAAGTAGCGCCAAAATATATACATAAATATTTTTTTCTTTTAGTTTTTTGCTTTAGTTTTTTGTTTGCCATTGACTTATTTCTTATGCAAAAACCAGAAGGCGACAGCTGGCCCAGGTAGTATGTCCAGTCAGGGCTAACAGAGCGAAAGACTGGCAGACAGTCCCTTTACCGTGTCACTTTTTTGCGTAAATATTGCAAAAGTTTGCTTAAAAGCTTTTAGTAGCTTTTTTTGTTAGCTCACTTTTTTTAACACAATTCGTGCGTCAATTCTCTGGGGAACTGACAAACGCCTCGACTTTGCATTACATTTTGTCTGGCTAATATTAAAGATGACACACGTCCAGCGGGAACTGTCAAATTTAAACATTTGATTTGCACTAAGCACACATTCACACCCACACATACACAAAAAAAGCACAGTCATTTTTATTTATCTAGGCAATGGATCGATAATTGAGCTTATCAGCAGATTTGATATTTTTGCTTATCAAAGCAGTTTAGTTTATCGGACTTATCATATTAAATTATAACAATGTGCTGAGCATGCCCCCCAATCAGAGAGATAGAGTGTATATGGGTATGGCGGTCTGCGTGTGGGTGAGTGTGTATGTGTGTATGGCAACCAATCAATGACACAAGCCGCCCACAGCCACAGCCGCAACAACAAGAACAGAAATAATAATAGACAATGCACAATTGACTCATTAAGCGACTAAACCGCGACAAGGGAAAGCCAAAAGTCCCACACATTCAAGCAGTTACACACATGCACGCACACACAAAATGTTTAATGATGTAGCCAGTTGGTAGCCCCAGTTATCAGAATACTAGAGTAGCAGGGCAGCTCAGAGTCATGTGGCAAGTGGCTTGGCTCGTTATTAAATAGCCGTAATTGTAGTACAATGTTTGGACGCAATTATCAATGCAGTCAATTTGCAATTGCCCACTTGACATTCAGTTAACATGTACAAAGTTTAACAGCGCACTGTCACTCACACACACACACACGCACACACAATAGCAGCAAGTAAGAGAGATAGAGTGAGAAGAACAAATGTTTGCTCTACAATTACATTACAATTTTTACACAATCAACGTCATCGTCATCGTCTCATCGTAATAATAATCAGGCAAAGTGAAGTATCAAATTACAGTCATGGACTACGAGCCGAACTGAATGGCAATCGTAGCAGCCGTAGAATTTTCGACTCTTCTTTCTCCACCCCTCACATTACACATACGCCGTGTGTGTGGGCTGCCTGACTGTGGCAGAGACCTCACACAGCGTAATTCTAATCAATTTTTATTATTTTTACAAACCTAGGCAGAAGTCAGCGCCCAAGGCAAGGCAGCGTCTCAGGCTGAGTTGCCTGCCTTTGGCTTTGTTTCGTCTACGAGAATTTATCTAGCGAGAGGTAGCAAAAACAAATGGCACGCCTGCGGGGAATTGTTGCTTCACGTATGCCTAGAACTTTTTTCCGGCTGCTGCCGCTGTTGCTGACAAACGCACAAAAAACGCGTTAAGGATCGGGGGGGCAGCGGCGGGGTATGTTGGGTGGCTGGCTGCTAAGGACGGTCGAATGTGTTTACGTTATGATTTTCGAAATCAAAATTCAGCACGAATAGGAATAAATTTACTTCCGAATGTCATTAAATTGTTTTCCGATAGAACGTGTATATTTCACGCAAGAAGTTTTGCCGCTCAGCATGGGGCTGACAGGGTTTTTACGGCAAGACATCCTTCTTCTGCTTCTTTACGTCCTTTGCATCCTGCCATTCTCGCTCCGCACTTTGATTTCCTTTTATTATTACGGTACTTGATATTATTGATTTTGATTGAGATTTATGTGGCTGGGCCCGTCTGCTTCTTCCTGTTGCCACTACATACACTCTACCTGTTGTTGTTTTTGTTGTTGTTGCTACTGCTGCTGTAAATATTTAGCATATTTTCGCCAAGTTGCCTTTAACACTGAACGGCATGCATAAATTTTGCTGCTGCATGGCAAGTTTTTTGATTAATGCAGAAAGTTTTGCCATGTGCATCGTTTAACTAATAAAACTTTGGCAGACACGATTTTTTCCAGCAATTGACTTAACAATTCTCTCACCCTTCCCTTCACTTATTTCAGCAGAACTCCTCGGTGGTGCAGAGCGACTATCGCATTCAATCGCCTGCCGGTGGATCACCCTTGCCGCTGTGCGCCGTGGCCAATGTGACCAGTAACAATGCAAACAGCTCGGGCGACAGCAACTGCAGCACTGTGGCCATCTTGCAGAACAACACGAGCGCTGTAAACGCCTCTGCGGCCGGCAACAATACCAATGCAGCCGGCGGACCCAATACCGTGCTGCGAGTAATTGTCGAGACTCTGATGTATCCAGTTTCGTTGGACATATTGCATCAGATATTCCAACGCTTTGGCAAGGTGCTAAAGATAGTTACCTTCACCAAGAACAACTCATTCCAGGTGGGTTAAGCTAAATATCTTCTAAATCAATGCATAATATTTAATGAACATCTTTGCTCTTCTTTAACAGGCGCTCATCCAGTATCCGGATGCCCACTCTGCACAGCAGGCCAAGTCTATATTGGATGGCCAGAATATCTACAACGGTTGCTGCACTTTGCGTATTGACAACAGCAAATTGACCGCCTTGAATGTCAAGTACAATAATGATAAGTCACGTGACTTTACGAATCCGGCGCTGCCACCGGGCGAGCCGGGCGTCGATCTCATGCCCACTGCCGGCGGCCTCATGAATACAAATGATCTGCTGTTGATTGCCGCCCGCCAGCGGCCCTCACTAACAGGTGATAAAATAGGTAACACAAACAGAACAATTTCCTTCTATTATCATTTTATTTTCTGTGCTAATAACGCCTGCTCACACACACTCACGCACGCGCACACGCACACACACACACACATACATACATAGAACGCTTTGATTTTAGACTTTTTGCCTTTGACACTTGCTATCGATTCGTCTAATATTTAAGCCGCATGCAACTGTGCAACAGCAACCTGATGAAACGCTCTTATTACTATATATATCTCAACATTTTTCAGTCAACGGCCTGGGAGCACCCGGCGTGCTGCCGCCTTTCGCCTTGGGCCTGGGCGCACCACTCACCGGCGGCTACAGCAACGCCCTGCCCAATTTGGCCGCCTTCTCGCTGGCCAACAGCGGCGCCCTGCAAACAACTGCGCCCGCCATGCGCGGTTACTCGAATGTGTTGCTCGTTTCGAATTTAAATGAGGAGGTAAGTGCTTATTATTCCAATCTCTTAAATACAACAAAACCATGACTAAACAGCGGCCCACAATTTAATATATATATATATATCCACATATGCCTACATGTTCCCCATACTTCCTATTTACTCACAAATTGCAAAAGTACTCGTACATAACCTCTAATTAGTTTGCATTTCGTCTATGAATATTTTCACAAAAGCCGCATACTATTTATATTAATGAATTTTCATTTTAATTATAGTTTTTTCCAAATTTATTCAATCTTCTGTGGTAAATTTTAATAAGCGAGTACACACGTATCCTAGATTAATTTTATTTTTATCTACTTAAAGTAAAATAAAAATTAATGCAGATTAATTAATGCTATACATGCTATATATTTTGTATTATTTTCTCCTATTTATCATTTATGATTTATATAATTTGTACATACATCTACAAACAAAACTCTCGCTAACTGACAACAAACTTCTATTTCTCTTTTTCTCTGTAGATGGTCACGCCTGATGCTCTATTTACCCTCTTTGGTACGTCTGCACAAAACAAAAAACCAAATACAAAATACATATCTTACATACTATATTTATGCCAAATATATTTCTAAAGTATATACAAATTGTTAATTTGAGCAGCCACAGTCAGTGGCTCAGCTAAGCAATATGCAAGGCAAATATCTAAATTGCATCCAATCTTTATTTGATCTTCTCGCTTCTACCACACTGCCCCCTTATCTTTTGCCTTGCCTTGCCCCCTGACTAGCTGGGCCACTGTCTTAGCTCTTTACCACAAACGTAATTCTTGACCACTTTATTAGTCGTACACTTGTTTATTCATTGAATTTAGAAAACGTAGGAAAGTTAAAACAGCTGCCAAAAAGTCAACTACTGACTGCGACCCACACATTGTAGCTGTTCTCTCCTAGCTCTAGCTCTAACCCTAACTCAGCATCAGCCCCTCCACTCCTGCTTGCATCCCTTAGCGCAACTCGTTGGCGTACTTCCGTTTGAAATTTACGCCATTTACGTGCAATCAGGAAAAGTGCCATGAATTATTTATACATACGGGGGCAGAATAACATGGGTGAAATGGAAGACACAGAACAATGGCAATGAACATTGAAAACGACGAACACAACAAACGACTAACAAAATGTTTTAAATATTAAACAAACTTTTAAAAACAAATTGCCGATACAAGAACATCGATAGGCTATTTACCTACGTAACTTGCAAACGTTTCACACAGATATAATCAACATTAAAATTTTTGTTAAAATTGTTTTTTTTTATGGTATATTCTCTGAAGTGCATTTTTCAAATTGCAAATGAAAAATAATAATAAAAGAGGGTTGAAAATTTGTATTTTTAAGTGCTTTGTTATTGTAAAATATTTTGAATTGTTTTTGATTTTCAAATGGTAGTTTGCATTTCATATTAAATCAATATGGAATTTATATACTTTGCGGTTCAAGTAAAAATTGTTGGCTTTGTGACTTAAGATTTTATTTTAAATTTTAAATTTAATAAGTTGATCAAAATGCACAGAAAACCTTTAAGTCAATTATTTGAAACGAACTACTGTAGCATCGTTTTTCTTTGAAGTCCTGTGGTTTTAGCTTTTACTAAATCTACAATCCTTTTGGGTCCTTGAGTGCTTATAAAGCTAATCAAAACGGGGTAATAGAATCTTTGTACTTTTTTACAATGCAAGTCGTGAGCGAAATAAAGCCATAAGCCCAGTGCATAAAAATGTCATAGCCAGAGGTGGCAGCAGTCGCAGCCATGACAACGGAAACGGAAATAACAACATCAACATAAATGCTGAGGTGCATTTCCTCTGGTTTAAATAGTACATTCATATATATATTTATTGTATTGCAATGCACGGGGCAGAAATGGCAACTACTACAAATGGCTTTCTAATAGCTTTTTGCTAGGGGCAGCGAATCCATCAGCTTGAAATTGAAATAGTTTTGCCACTGGGTAAAAATCGCAACGTAATCTTTAGATACTCGACCACACGCACACACACACACACATACACAGCCAGCCAGAGATAAAGAGCATGATAGAGATAGAGAGCGCAAGAGATAGCAACAGTTGCATATGCAGAGGCTGCCACTGGCAGTTATCCTGTCATAAGTTGTGCTTACAAATTGTAAAACAATGAAAATGAAAATATATGCACATGCATAAATCTACACTAACCACACACACACACACGCTCGCACGCTCCTACACACATACGAACGTATTAAAAAAGCATTCAGTGGCAAACGGGCAACAAGTGAAACCGCACTCAGACACACACTTGCACGGCATCCTGTTGCTCCTTGGTTGCCGTTGTCTGCGACATGCTCGTGTGCATGTAAAATTACATGAATTAAGTGCGATCCACTCTGTGCCCCGCGTGCCCCCTCTATCGCCATGTTCGTCCATTGTAAGCGGCTCGCTCTCAGCTCGGCTCAGATGCATATACATATATATATACAGGACACATGCTTTAACATGGCGCTCATCCTACCACACACACACGCACACACACGCGCTCGCACAACAAAAGATTGAGTGCGGAAGTGCATAGCTATAAAAATGTCCATTTATTTAGTTATCATTGCGCTTGTTGCTGTTGCTGTTGCTGTCGCCGTTGCTCTTGTTGCCACTATGTGTGTGTCGTCTCCTCTCCTCCCCCATTTACCCTCCCTAACTGTATGCATATGTGTGTGCGTGAGTGCATTTTATACACTCACACACACACGCGCACACATTTTGCAGTTTTTGCTGGCTTTACAATTGAAATAAAATTTACTTGTGACTTTTCGGAGCTAGTTGTTTTGGATGGCTGAGTGGTTGGACGGTGGGTTGGTGGGTTTTTAAGTTGGGTTATTGTCTCCTTGCTGCCTTTTTGTCGTCTGCCGTATGCCGTGTGCGGCATGTCTGTTTGCCAAATGAATTTAACTAACTTTGTAAAGTTAATGGGGTTTGCTGTTTGAATTGCATCTACAACTTCCCCTGACCGAGAACGTTTTGTTTCTTTGTGTATGTATGTATGTGTGTTGTTTTACTATTTTATAGCAATTGGACTTGACTTTTCGCATACGCTGCATTTAACTTGTTTTCACTGCCTGTATCCTATCCCTTTATCTGTTTGTTTTATTTAATAACCAAAATACTTCGATTGCTACGAGTGCCTGCAGCACAGTTTGTTAGCAACAGTTCGTTGTTGTTGCCATTGTTGTTGCTGCCAAGTGTAGCGCATAATTGCAGCATAATGGATTTGTTGCCACAACCAAAATACCGCTGCTGCCCTCTGTGTGGCTGTATCGCATTTTTGTGCTGCAACAGCACAAAACTTGGCAACCACATACACAAACAGCACACACAACTCTCACACACGCACAACAATGTTAAGTCTGTTGCCGCCTTTGTCTCTGATGACACAAAACGGTTTGTTTTTGCGGCTTATTTACCCACAGAGACATGTGTGTTGTGTCTGCTCTGTGTGTGTGTGTGTATTGTGTGTATCTGTCTGTTTTGTTTCTGTGCGCCGCTTTGTTTGCATGCAAATGCATTTAATTTGAGTTTAAATACCCAAATATAAACTTTTGCCAAACAAACGCAACCACAGAGCGAAAGGTCCAGAACGCATGCAGCATGTGGGCGGCATTAAGGGCTGGCTGTGGTGCAAGCTGCTTGTCTTTAAATACAAGTGAATACACTTATACTCACATACGTACGTAAATGTATTCATACGTAAATGTATTCATTTGTGTGGTATTTATTTACAAATTGCATTGTATTCTGTCAGCAATTCGGACTTTATCGTTGATAAAGTAAACAAAAATTTGTCAAACGCATTAATTGTTTAAAAATGATTATTGCTTGTTGATATTGTTGTTGTTGTTGTTATAGTTAGAGCTATTCAAATACACATACATACATAGTCTAGCCGCATAGCCGCACAGAGCGCACAGCTAAGGGCAGCTTAAAGCAACTGAGCCACAGTAAATCCTATCAGCAGCTCGTTAGCCACAGTTAAGACTGACTGCAACCAGGAACTGGCAGCAGGTTGCCTTTCTTTTGGCAGCTACCAGATGGCAGCTGGCAGCTGCCTGCAGTGCTAATAAAGCTTCGATTGCTGATTTAACGCCAAGCGGACCAGGAGCGAGTCGAATCAAGTAAAGCGTAGAGCAGAAAATTGTTAGATGTACGAGTATCATACGCCCTGTTGCACACAGCAAGCGAGATGTCGATAAGCTGAACGCTCTAAAGCGTCTTACTGCTTACCATGACCGGGGCCCAGGACATGACTTGAAATGGCGTGCCAATAGATTTAGATAAACTCGGCAGCGACATGACGGCAGTCTAAGCAAGCAATCAGCTAAATGGCAGCGCTAAAATTTTATGTAATAACTTTTGAATTTCCAAGTAGCTGAACGCAACCCCTGGCCACAAGTGACACTTGAGGCAAGTTGTACGACAAACAAGCAGGCGACTGGCCACACAGACCCACACACACGCACACACACACACAAGTGTTTAATATACTCGCAGCGCCTTTTGTTATGTTAATGGCACCAATGAGCTGGGACACGTAACCACAATTTCCACACATGACGCGAACGCCAATGTCTGACGGCCACGTTTAGGTGGCAAATTTAGCACTTCAATCATGGGTCTCTGGCAACGTTTGTTGTTGCTATTTCTATTGGTGCTGCTGCTCTTGGCTTAAAGCTGTTTGCATATCAAATAATAAGAGTGGCAAGCGTAAAGCTTGCAACGCCCGCCGCAAACAACGTACTTCAAACGCTAACGTTTAGATTGATCAAGCCCAATTGAAAAAAAGGCCCACGTTCGGTGCCAACCCTTTCTAAAGCAGACATTTTATTAGTTTTGACAGCGCTTTGTTGTTGGCCAGCCCCGAACGGTTCAATTGAGCGACCCGGTGGCTGGCTGCCCTGCTCAATGCTACGATGTCTATGACACGGTCTTTAGACACTTGACACATGCCGCCTGCCACATGCCAAATGCCGCATGCCACATGCCGGTTGATCTGTCAGCCGTGCTAATAGAGCCTATTGCTGGCAACAAAACTGTTGCCTACTTTTTGGGCCATTCACAGCTTTTTGACCCGCTTTTTGCATATACAATAAAAACTTAATCAGTCTGCAAATCGTCTAGTAAAACCTATGCTCGTGTGTGCGTGTGTGTATTGGTAATCAGCTTATGTAATTGTAATGGCGTGCTAAAAATTTATATCACTGCCGAAAATATTGTGGAAACGTGTTTAATTGAATTTTTATGAGCTCGCTGGGAACTGCGTGCGTGATTTTTGCTGGGCGCCGAAAAAAATTTCATAAAATTTTATATGCTACATGTAGAATGGCAGTCAGGAATTTTGGCAGGCAGGCCAGGGGTTGCGAAGCGATTTGATAAAATGCTGTGACCGGAAAAAGGGAAAATATGTGCGAATAATTTCAATGAAAATTTATCATAATTTAACAAGTTCCGTTTAACTAAAAAGCATGCCATAGAATTTGGTACCTAAGCGCGTTTTCCTGTGAATTGGATGACTATGGCTTTCAAATGAAATGAATAATTCACAGAGCTGGCTTGTTAAATTCTATTCCTGAACATTTCATCAATTTACTATTACAGAGTTGAGGCGCAGAATTTATATATTAACTCAACAAGTTCAGCATTGATCACAGCACATTCCATTCACTTAGCCATTTCAAGTTTTCACGAAGCTTATTTCATGGGAGCCACAAGCCACAAGAAAATTTGCATTTAACGTCGGACAACTGCGATATTTTTTCATCTAAAATATACGCTCAAACGGACGACTAATGGGCCGCCGGGGAATCAGCGCGAGCGCCAGAAAGTATGCAAACATATTCAAAGTCAGCCGCATGGCTGTACAAATATGGCTAAATCTTTTTGCGATAATAAATTATTATAAAGTCTGGCTGCCAGACTAGCTCTCTAGCTGGAGGCGGTCTGCCTGTAGTCAGTTTGCATGGCATCCGGCTGGCGGAGCCGCAGCAGCAGCAGTTGCTCACACGCCCCGTTGGACGTCAAACTGCGATGCTGCTGCTGTTGCTGCTGCTGCCGCTGGTACTTCTAATGCTGGTGCAATGCTAGCCAGAAGACTGGCATTCAATATGCTCCACAGCCGATGCCTGGCAGATACGTACGATGTTTGGCTGGCTAAGTTGGCTCGCCTGGCTTGCTTTATTGCTGCAATTGTTGCTACGGCAAGCCAATTTGAAGCAAACGAAATTTTTCGGTGTTTGGCATAAGTCAAGTTTCAGTTCGCAGTACTTTCCTGGCTTGTGCTGTGCAGTCAGCCAGTCGAGCAGCCAGTCGAGCAGCCAGTCGAGCAGCCAGTCGACTGTATAAAATGGATTTACTGCCAACTGTTGAACTATGCGCCGTTCCCGCACTATTTACTACCTGCATTTCTATTGCTACTTTTGTAACTTGTTAGCGCTCCCCATCGCTGCTCCTCAGCTCCCTTTCCATTTTACTGCCACTGGGCATTGGGTTTTTTTTTTCGTTTTCTGCTTTTAGTTTTGTTTTTTTTTTTTTTGGGAGAGCTAGTTGAAAATTTACTTTTCGCATTATTCGATTTGTTGTCTTGGGCAACCGAGGGTGCCTGCACTTTACATTGTTTGCATTGGGCGTTGCTGAGGGTGAGATCGAGGGCGTGGGGCGGGGCTGCGACCTTTTAGCTACCAACTACTATTTTTTATGCTTGATGGCAATTTGCGCCCTGCTGCAAATTTGCCGCTGATTGGCTACACACGGACTGCTGGACAAGAGGGACATAGGGCGAGCGTATTTTCACCTCCGCTCCGGACAGCTGTCAAAGCAAAGTCCATTGGCCAGGCTAAAGAAATCACCAGCAATTGCTCTTGCTCTGCACTTAAAGTATCTTAAAGTTTGACGGCACAATATGGCACCGGAGCAACTGGACCCAATGCATATTGGATACTTTGCGGCGCCGCCGCGTAAGTAAAGTCATAAAATACAATTCAATAACGCGCCCAGCAACGAAACTTGCCAACTCCCCAAGTGCAACTCCCCAACGCCAACGTCACACTCACACCTTGTCTGACAACTGTAAAATCAGCCGCGTGGCGCAGCCTTAAAAAGTATGCAGCCGGATACTGAGTCAAGCTGGAGCCAGAGCTGAAGCTGGAGCTGGAGCTGCGGCTTGACAGAGGATGGCGTTGCCGAAGCCATAGCCTGGAGTCGGTCGTAAAAAATAGCTGAGAAAACTTATTGAGCTAGTTATGAGTTTCGTACATGATACTAACGGCTCCGTCCCGACAATAATACCAAGCAGCATCAGCCGCACCTGCGAGGCGGCAACCACGGCTGGGGTGAAGGGGAAGCAGCTAAGAAAACCATCTTCGTACACGTTATGGCTTTTTGGTGGTGTGTAAAAGTTTCGTCCTTTGACGGCAGCAACATTTGCGCGTTGCATAAAACGCTCGTAGCTGTCCGAATTTTCCAGGCCCGCCATTTGAATTGAGCGGCGCTTAAGTCGCGTCTTATGGCCGCGCTCTACTTTGTAGATTGCATCGTAAGAGTAGTTTCGTTGGCTGGGTAGCTTGGGTATATACAGCTGCCTACAGCAAGGACTAAATATTTGGGATATATTCATTAGTTATACATCAGCAGCTACAATGTGTGTGTTAGGATAGCAAATAGTGGGATACTTTATTAATGTTCACCTTGCTTTTCTACTGTTATATGCGTACTCTTAACGGCATTGCAATAAATAAAATCCATATTAATAAAACCAACCATTTCGCAATTCACAGGTGTATACGGCGATGTGCAACGTGTAAAGATTTTGTACAACAAAAAGGACTCGGCACTCATACAAATGGCAGAGCCACAGCAAGCTTATTTGGGTAAGTCAAACATGCCGAAACCTACAGCCCTGCCCTCATCCCCCTCCTACAGGCCACCCCAAAAGTAATGAAAAATCTGCGCTCGTTGCGGCGTTGAAAGGCGCATCAGATACAAAAAAAAAAAGAAGAAAATAAAACTGGTCGCTCTAGTTGAGAGTGATAAACAGGGGCATACCCTGAAAACAGTTTTTAACTAGCAGCACATTTCGTTAATATATATATAAATATAACTTTGTCAACATTCGCTGCATTACAAAGCGTTTTCTCACCGGTTAAAAGCATATAGGAAATTATTTCGCCTGGGAAATAGAAAAGCGTGTCACCTGGAAAATATAAAAGATAATAACAATAGCATTGACTGCTTCGCGTAGGATTCTTGACCAGATTTGACTTCTTTAGATGTGTTACAAATCGATCACTTAGCTGTCGATTACCATCAAGAATATATAAATTTTAGGGCCCTATATTATAGGCATATATTGCTCATCTATGCAACCATATATATTAACAGGGTATAGAAAAAATAAAAGGAAAAATGAAATGCGAGCAACAGCAACTGCAATTTGCAGCTGGTTTAAAATGAAAAATTCCAGCAACATGAAATTCCAAACATTGCATACCTTTGGCAGCCATTGTTGCCCACTGTTCTTGTTGCTGTTGCAGCTGCAAATGCAGCAAACAAAATGTATTAATAATAAAAATTGTTAAAGCGAAAGAGATGGGGAAACGGACAGATATGCACAGCTGAGTAGAGTATAACTACAGCGACGCTAGGAGAGCCGCGCGGTTCGGTTGGCTGGCCGTGCGCATAAATGAAATTTTATAAGCGCTTTATTACCAGCGTCTGTCCAACACCTGGTCTGGTTGCTTTCTGCCCCACCTGTCGTGCTGCCGCTCTCTCTCTCTCTCTCAGAGGCGGCTACTGCCTCTGGGCGTCCCTGGGGGGCAGCAAAAGGCTGACCCATGCTCTCGCAGCAGGACATGCCAATCATTTTATTGCATTTATTTGTGTGCACTTTGCCATTGTCAGGTTGCCGCAGTCCCCATCTCTTATGCTCCATACACCGCATTCCCTTTGGCTGTTAGTGTGCGCATTAAACGAAATGAAAATCGCCGCGCATTGCGAGGCGTTAAGAGCAGTCAACCGACGTGCCAAATTCCACTTTATTACGTAAAAAAGAAAGAAGACAAGAGTATTCTAGTCGGGAGAGTCCGACTAGGAGATACCTTGAACCCAACCACAATCTGGTACTACAGGCATTTTACATTCTATCTTCTATAAACTATCCAAAACCAAACCAAACCCTGAAATATTCCTAATCTGTATATACTGCAAGAGAATCTACACACCAACTTTTTTGTATCTATATCTTATAATTATCGAGTTAAGCTTGAATAAACCACGTTTCAATGAGATCGAATTGTTGGCTAGATCGATTCAGCTCGTCGTCCGGATCAAGGATATATTTACTTTATGGGTTCGGAGATGCTTTATTCTGCCTGTTACATACATTTGCACAAAAACGTAATACCCTTCCTACCCATTTTCAATGGGTTCGAGGTATTAAATAAAAAACAGCAGGAAAAACAAGCACCGTTGGCAGCGACACCTTTTCAATTTCAATTTGGTTTTATTCCATTTAATACGTCGGCAAGGCCAGAAAGACGGTCGGCTGGCTGGTCAAGGTAGGGGGCTTTTGTTCATCTGAAAAATAACTCAAAAGCAGTCAAAGTTGTGCCGCCGCTGGGCGCTAAATTGAAAATTGGAAATGACAACGAGCAGTCGTTAAGCATTGTACATGCAAGCGAGCATTGCGCATACGCAGCGTTGTTCCTTGTTGCTTGCAGTTGTGCTTATTACTCACTTTAAGCCGCTTTGTGGCATGCAACATACATATACATAAATATGCAATAATTACGCACAAGTACTTAAGCTGCCGACGCTTAAATGCTTAACAAATAATTTTTCACATTCCATATGCGTATAAATATGTGTATATAATTTCCAATGTTTTTGGTTGTTTTTTTTTTCTTTTCTTTTTTTGCTCGTTTTGCCCGCAGCATCACATACAGCAGTCGTTGTTATTAATAAAGTTTAAATAAATTTAATTAGTGAAATAAATGCCATGCACATTAACAGCAGCAACTCGGCGTTAAGCATTGTAGCGGAAATTGTCAGCAAATTGCTCGAATGGCAGCTGGCCGACATTAATGTATATCCACTGCAAAAATAAATGCCATCTTTTGGCTCCTACTCCACTATTTTTTTTTCAATTTTAATTTAAAAAAAAAAAGGAGAAATATGTCAACCAGCAGCAAAAACAATCATTGGCCATTGCCTTTGATGATCCGTTAAAAATATGCTTTGTACTGCACTCAATTAACTTTCGCAATTATCATTATGCAAACATGTTGCTATTTGGTGTTCTTTTTTGTTGGTTTATCTTTATTTTGTTTTTTATTCAGCTGCATATTTGAGCTCAAAAGCATTCCAACTTTGTCCCGATTTATGCTTAAGTAATGCGAGCTATTGCTGCTTTCGCTCTATTTGCTTTCACTGTTTGGTTCTGATTTAATTATTTTTCTTTTCGTTTGGCTAATCCGCTGCATATTTAAAAATTCATCAAATTATTTAGTTTGCTAATGTCTCCGAATCCGTTGCCAGCCAACCTGTCGTATACGCACTTTTTAATTATATTTGTAGATGAGTTGACAATAGGCTAACCGCAGCATGTGTTGTAGCTGATGTAACTATTTTAGATTCGCAAACAAAATGGCTCGCTTTATTTGTGGCAACAAACCAATGCTATTCGACAAGCAAATTATTGTACACACACAAACACACACACATCCACCCAATGGCTGCTGGCATGTGGAAATATTAATGGCCCTGCGTCAACATACAGACTACTAATGTGCCGCGAGGGCTGCCAAATGGCAAACACTTCCGGCTGAGTACCGCCGGCCTCTCTCCTGGCATCCGTCCGTCTGCCAGTCCGCCCGTCCGCCCGTCCATCCGTTTGTTCAGGTAAAGTCGCACTAGCCGCCGTGCAAGTGTGTTGGTTGTTTTGGGCGTCTGGCTGTTGGTCGGTGAGTGCGCACTTATGCACTCATAAAATATTAACAAATTCATTCGTTACTTTGCCCAAAACTCTCGCAACTCTGCCAGAACAAAGACGATTACCGACCCAGGGCCAGCCCAGTCTATTGCTGCCCAGGCAGCAGATGTCCTGGCAGGCCCTAACCCCCTGCCAACCAATCCAGCCCACACCCATGCATATCAAAGTGTCTCTCAAGAGGAGGACAGTATGGTGTTTGTTGTTGCGCACAAAATACGGCTACAATTGCACACTCAGCATACGAATTACAGCGTAAAGGCGAAAAGAACTTTTTTGTCTGTGTAAATGAAGTCAAGAGAACGAAGCGCCTGCAAGCCGGACACCCGGACAGCCAGACAGACCGAGCCCCAACTCGGTCCAAATAAAGTGCGACAGCAATCAAGAGGCAAAGCCAAAGCACAAATAGACAAAAACACAAACACGCACAATGAAAAAACAATAAGCACTGGGCGGGCACTCGATAGTCCACTCCACTGGAGCAGCTTGAGGTGTGTGTGTGTGGGTGTGTGTTAGGGAAATATTATAATGGCCCATTCGGCCAGGAGTTGGCGTTGGCGTTGGCGACGCTGTCGACATTGTGCAAATGGCCGCTGGCCGGACGCGCGCCATTTGTTGGCTGCCGTGCCGGGATTAAGTTTTTGCGCAACTTATTACAAACTATAGACAAAACTCTCATATAAATTTATAGGCACACGCACAGCTGCCGCCCACTGTGGCTGCCCAGCTTGCTCCACCTCCACCTCCACCTTCTCCCACTCCCTCTCCTGTTATAGTTGTTATCTGGGGAATTTTGCGTAAATAAATTTTTGCTATACAAATTACTACAAAATATTTTGCATGAACAGCAGCGTACGCATAAAAGCATTTACAATAAAAACAAACAAATATTTTTGCAGCAGCAACAGCCACACACACACACACACACACACACAGCCACACGCATACACACATGTATTGTCTATGTATATATAATATGGTCCGATTACGCATACGCCAAGTAAAACTTGTGTGAAGAGTTTTGACAAACTTTTGCGTTAAATGACTCATTGAATGAATTGGCGTCCATCTTTATGTGCTCCAAATTAATTATGCAGTGTTCAAGCACGGCAAACTTTTTTATGAACTGACTTTAGATAGTACTTCGTACCATATGCCAATATAACAAATAGTCAGTTTTTCCTGAGATTAATCAATCTCACCTGAGCCAGGTTAAAATTGATGTTAGGTCAAAGTTGACACGACGCTAACATTACTTTAATTATATTGGCGTGTTGTTGGCTTAAATGGCTGAAATGGGTTAATGCACTCACAAATCCTGTCAGCCACTTTAACAAGTCATTTTTTGGGTCTTTGGGCAAACTTTACGGACTCATATTTTTCGGGATTCAATGCTTTTCTACGGTGCTCAGCTGTGCGTGCACTTTTTATAAATATTTTGTTTTCGTTTTTTGTTTTTCATAATGTCTTGTAAGTTAATAATGATTTGTTGTTGTTGCTGTTGCTGTTTCTGTTGCTGCTACTGGTCAGGCTGGTAATTAAAACTTTGAGTTACTTTTTGAGTTGGGCCCCAGGCCCAAAGCCACGAGAGCCGCCGCCGCCACGAGCGCAGCTGCAGCACATTTTGAAAGGCGCTGCGATGATAGGCAAAGTTAGTCCTACCATTTTGGGCTAGCAGAGCAAAGCGCTGGCTCTCTCGGCTGCACATTAATCTTTATTACAAGTGTTTGTCATACATACATACATACAGACATATATACATACATATATACATACATACAACATACATATATACTCGTCGCATGTGGCAAAATGGCAGAAGCGTTTGTCACTGCTGCTGCTGTTGCTTGCCTTTCGTCTCGTTGTCCTTTAGCCGACTGGCCTTTATTTTGCAATTTATTATATTTTCAAGCCGTATTTTGTATTTTTTTGTAAAATCATTTAATCCATTAGGCAAACAATAAACGGCTGAGTAAGCATATTATTTTACAATAAAACATAAGCAACCTAACACGATGTCATCTACTTCCCACCCACACGCTCCACGGCCCCCATCTCAAAGTCCATGACAACTGAGCAAAATGATAAAATGTTCTATAATTTATTAAAATAATGCAAAAAAAGGGACACGTTCTGGGCTGAGGCATGCCGAGTCCCAGTCCCAGTCCCAGCATGACTTCACAAGAAATTGAATAAAAATGTAATCGAAATTGAAATCGTAATCGTAATCGAAAACGAATATGAAAATAGAAACAGTGTTTATTTCGTTTAACTGGCATGTTGTACAATAGTTGTCTATTTGCAATTGAGCCGCAGGTGTTATGACTATCGAGACCATGAGAAACAAACGACGTCTCGTTGGGGGTGGCAGGAAACAAAAATTGGAAAAAAAGAAAAAAACTGAAACAAGAGCAAACTTTTGCGGGCAATGCATTTTATGGCGAGTCATTTGCTTGTAAATCACCAAAGGCAGACGACATTGATAAAGTTGCAGTTACATTTTAGTATGTAAATATTTGCCTGCACTTATTGCTGACTTTGACTCCAGAAGGAGGTGCTGGGTAATTTTATGGCTTGTAGCGCAACACATTTACATACATACATATATATGGTATACATATATATATATATATGTACTTCACATAGTAAATTGCATCAGACACATATGTAAACACATGTTGTACAACATGGAACGTGAACAAATATTCTATCGCCCGCACAAGTTGAACGAGCTCTTGGCACAACCTGTCCCACTGAATTCTTGCATTGCCGTTCGTTTTAACGTTTTTAACATTGTGTTTTATTTTGTTGTTGGCATTTTTTTATTTTTATTTTTGCAGCCATGTCTCACCTTGATAAATTACGTTTATGGGGCAAGCCAATACGTGTCATGGCCAGCAAACATCAGGCCGTGCAACTGCCCAAGGAGGGACAGCCGGACGCGGGCCTCACACGTGACTACTCACAGAATCCATTGCACCGTTTCAAGAAGCCCGGCAGCAAGAACTATCAGAACATCTACCCGCCATCGGCGACACTGCATTTAAGTAACATTCCGTGAGTATCTATTGTTGAGCATCGTTTCGTTGTAGTCTAGCGTTTAAAGCCGTCCTGCGTAACGCGTGCACAGCTGGAGTTCGTTTTCTCATCAGCAACGCCACGCGGGCAATTACAATTACCGTTATGAGCAGCACCACCACCCGAGCCCGTGGCCCATTCACAGCTCAAGCTCCAGCTACAGCCACAGTCGCAGTCGCAGCCATTGTCAGAGGCAAACGTCCCGCGTCGCTTTGTCTGCCAAATATGACAAAGCGCCCCGCCAGCTTTTTGTGTGCCATGGCGGGGATGAGGCGGAAAGGTGCCCGCCGTTTGAATTTATGTGCTTATGGCAATGCCTGAAGCTGTAGCTGTGCCTCTGTGCTTGTGCCTGCTGTTTTGGTGTGGTGTTTATGCGATATCTATAGACGCGCAGCATGCCAATTTAAATCGATAGGTGTTAATTTAGCGTACGAACGTTTTTCTTCTTGCTCCTTACAGCTCATCCTGCACCGAGGATGACATCAAAGAAGCCTTCAGCTCCAACAATTTCGAGGTTAAAGCATTCAAATTTTTCCCGTGAGTAAACGAATATATTGATTACAATTTAGAGCGAATAAAACTAATTAGCTTTGTATGCATTTGCAGTAAGGACCGCAAAATGGCGCTGCTGCAACTGTCGTCGGTGGAGGAGGCTGTGCTGGCACTGATCAAAATGCACAACCATCAGCTGTCCGAGTCGAATCATTTGCGCGTGAGCTTCTCCAAGTCGAACATCTAGAATCCGACCCGTGGTCAGGTTCACTGAACTTGACTGAGTGCCAACAGCAGCTATGCACTACGGCAGCAGTTCTTTTGGCAGCAACAGATACAATCTATTATTCGTAGTACAAGCGGCGTGCTGGGCAATCGCCACCACATCCACTTCAACTGAGAAGCGAGCCCAACCAACCCAATATAACCCAACCCATCAAACAACAGCAGCAACAATCGATGCAAGAGCTATAGCTACTTATATACAAACAAAATCTAAAATCTAATTTCTGTTTTTATTATAACAATGCGCAAAACTCTATTACAAAACTTACTACAGAAATTCTAAAAAACTAATAAACAAAACTATACAATTAATTAATATATATATATATATTTAAATGAAGAATACAATTTCAAATTTCAATTGTAAGACAAGCATTAAGAGAAACAAATACAAAAAATAGAAGGAAAACACAAAAGCAGCCCACTAAACAATCAGCGACGTCGTATAATCATAAGCTTAAAGTAAAAACTTAAATTTAGTCCATAAGTAAGTTGCATTGCATAGAGAGAAAGAAGAAGCAAAGCAAACTTAGAACTAACTTAAGTGCACTGTACTGTGTTTTGGTTTTAAGAAACAGCAGAAAGTCAAAACAAACAAAAAACAAATCAATTTATGTTAAACAATGGAGTAAGCAAAAAAAACAAATTTTTATTGTGTACGAGTATTTACTGTTATTATATTTTAAGTGATTGAAACTTTGATTGAAAACTCTTATTTTTTACAAAAAAAAAACAAAAGAAAAAGAAAAAAACATATGAACTTAAAGTGCATGCGCGCATTTAAGCAGTTTTTAAACGTTTTTCATTTTGTTAGCGGTACGATTAATGTTAAAAGTAAAGTTAATCTCAAAAAGCAAAACCCAATCAGCGTGCATACTGACTCTTTAAGTGTAATTGAAGCCAAGCAAAATGGCGCTGAAATGTATTAAATTTAAATATAATAAAGCATCTATTCGGGCACTTGAAGAGAAACCCCATTATAAATTTAGTACGTCTGTTCGTTTAGCATTAAAACAAAATAAAGAAAGCAAAACTAAAAGGTAATAATAAAGGCAGTTAAATAAAAAACAAAATAGAAAACTTAATAAAACGCGTACGTAAAACCTTCTGTGTGTGTGTATATGTAAGTGTTGTTAAACTAGCAAAATATATACACAAAAAGAAAATATAAGAAAGAAATATATACTGCATAATGGATATACATACATATGCATACATATAAGTATATGTTGAACTACAACAAAAACATGAAACAGGAAATAAAACAAATTTTAAGCTACGGAAGTAAAATCTCAAAAATCGTAATTATATTTAGGCCTAAGCATACCGAAAGACATATAAGTGTTTTTAGCAAAACAAATACAAACAAAAAAAAAACAACAAAAAGAAAAATGAAAAAAAAACTCGATGATTTTTTGATAATTTTACAAGAACCCCACACAACCATGAGAACACACACAGAGACAGACAGGCACAACTAACTATACACACATCAATGTTTATATATATTTAGAAAGTGAAATTATTTATACGTTGGCGCAAAAGAACAAAAACAAACACACAAAAAGAAGAAAGAAAAAATAAAAACAAAATGATTAAATAAACTAATTGTAACTGTAACTGAATGATATGGATTTAGTTTTTAAGCATAAGTAGCAGTGATCGTAATTTAAAATTAACAATTTACAGAAATGGTAAATTTTGAAGCAAAAACGTGTACGAAAAGCAACAGTAAAATATTGTAAAATGTATAATTAAATAACATACGGTATTTACAGTTATCGATCAAGTCGCAAATAGCAGATGCTATTTGCATACAAACATACATATGTGGTATAGTATGGTTAAAACTAGGGACAAGTTTGCAAGTGTGAGTTCCTTTGAAACTCTACAACAAAACACACAGACAAAAAGAACACATACCTTAACCATATATTGCATACACGCACACACACACACACACACACACATTTCTCATGTAATGCTTAAAGTACATTTTTAAACAAACTCTAGCGTTTCATGTATACATTCTATCCTAATCTTAACTTATCTACAACCTAATTAATTAACTTATTATATGCTCTATGTCTATGCCTATGTCTATGTCTATTATATAAAAACATATATATATATATATATATATATATATAAATATATATATATACACGTTTTGTTAGCGCATCGATACAAGGTAAAGAGAGATAAATATATATATATATATACTATACATATATATCAAACCCACGACTGCTAGAATTTCAAATGAGAACTCTTGACAAATCAAAAATTTCATACAAGTATTTCAAAAACTATAATTACTTACAACAGAAAAGCAAACAAAACGAAACAAAATAAAACAAATAAGGCAGGAGAAAATAAAGTAAAGTAAACATGTGAAAAGTTGAATCATAAATTAATAATGTGTTTGTAAAACAATATAGAGACACACACACAAAAGATACCTAACCACTGACAAACACACAGGCACACACACGCCACACACGAACTCTCATATTCACACACACACACTTACTCAATCGAAATCAATCCAAATGTATTATGAAGGCGGCAGAGCAACAATGCGGCTGCACTTCAAAATGCAGCGTTCAAAGCGTAATCAAATATTTAGCCCAACGATAATATACATACAGATACATAGATACAATTTGCGCTACAGCGTGTTTATGTTGATAATGAACAAGAACACACCGAGAAAAGCAGCATGCGAATTAATAGAACTATATACATACATACTAAGTACATACATACATCATAATAGGTGGAAAATATGCAACTCAGCTATTTGAAAAAAAAAAAACAAAAAAAACGCTAAAAGTATTACTTTATCATGTAGAGAAAAAAATATAAAAAAAATGAAAACACATCAACTGAATACATAGTTTACAAGTACATTGAAGAATTTAATAATTAAAAATTTATCAGATAAAGAATTACATATAATGAACGAAGCAGAGCAAACATATTAGCTTTGCGTTTTGATTTGCGCCCGCTGCGGGACTTGAAGGATAGTCATAAAGCAAAAAGTTGCATACATTAAAAAAATATTTCTGAAATGAACAAATAAATAAATTAAATACAATTAAAAAGCATAGCAAACAGTTATAAGTTGTACATTTCGAGATTTTACCAAAATGCATATGGAAGCATAATAAATTCAAGACTAAGAAAATATGAATTACATATAAATATGCCAGCATATATGTGTACATACATACATATGTGTCCGTATGTGTGCATCAGTTTTAGTTGTGTAACACGCTCGCTCGAAGCTGACACCCGCGCATGCTACATTACTTGCATGCAAAATGTATGTACTATATGTAATTGTAGCTATAAACTGTGCATAATTGTATTGAAATACTTAAATAGTGAAAACGTCGAAAAGGGTATAAACTACAATCGGACAGAGGTACGAACACAATTTTCTTAACTCAATCCAAATCAATTCACATGCGCAACATAACATACTTATACATATACATATAACATCAACAGAAACATATCAACCAGATTTGTCATATGAGTACGAGTAGTTGATTTTAAAGACACTTTTTATGGATTCACATAAACCGATCCCACAATATGCCCCAAAACATTTCCGTTCAGAGCAGTCACATACCAGAGCAACCCGAAAGAAAAACAGAGTATAGAAATTGAGCGTTATAATTAGAGTTAAAGGCAAGCGTTTGAAAAAGAGCGACAGCATTAGAAAATAAGATATATATCAGAAATGCAGCAAAATCGCAAGTGTTGAAAAATGTTGAAAGCAAGAGCAAAACGAAATTATTTTTAGCTAACGGACCGGAACCGAGTGCGTACCAGGTAACGTCGTTGTCCTCGTAGACAGTGAGTCATAGATGAAAGCATAGAGAATTTGTTAAATATTTTGCCAACGGAGAAAGACAAAAATTAATTATTAATTTAATATAGTTACAGTATACTTTTTTAAGAGGTTTATTTCAAGTGTTTTTTGGTACAATATTTTATAGATTTTATAGATTTGTGTGCTCATTAGTATTTTTAGTAGCAGAAATTTTGCGAGTGTGGTTTTTGAGCAGAAAGTGCAAGGAATTCAAATGGAAATGAAATCGTTGTTGCGTTTGTATTGTATTAAGAGATTTTTTCTTGTTTACTTTGGCGGTTAGACAAACGCATGCAACTCATAAAAATAAATAAATAAAAATATATATACTTATATATAAACGTACATACATATTATAGCTAGCGAAATCTGTGTTTTACTTGCTTCTTTGATATTGAATTGTTTTTATTTTAATTGTACATCTGAGTTCAGTTTGGAAAATTGCAACATTGAAACTACATGAAAAACAAACAGCATACAAGCTAAAAAAAACAGACAGAAGTTCCTACTTTTTAGTGAAATGATAAATAATTGCTAAAAAACAGAAACTAACAAGACAATTTGCAGCAGTGAATTAAATATACATTTACATATACATGCAAAAGAAAGGTCACTTATTGATTCGTTTACCTTAATGATTGCCTACTTTGCTATTACTTTCCTTTCTTATCCTTGGTATGTCTACAAATTTTGTGCGCGTTAGTGAAAAATTATGGCAAAATTCAACTAGGGTCCAAGTTTTAAATATAATCAATTATCTTAAAAAACTTACATATTTAAATGAACTCCAACAAATGGTTTTATGATCTGCCAATTTGTTGATTTATTGGTACCCAATATTCGAGATCGTAATATCTAAAAAAAAAAACAAACAAACAAATCTATCAGCTGAAAAAGCAACAAATAAATACATGCACCCTCTCGCTATTTCTCGAACACTCGCTTACATATACTTACAAACATCACAGATTTTACAGATATTGCCAAGAAGCTTCGAACATGTATCCTTGATTCTATATTGCTTAACTAACCGAAACTTAAAAAAATACATCACGCGAAACAATCAAAATCGAACTTGAAACATTTGTTAAAAGAAATTTTTTAAATTTACACCACGATAAACACTTTTAAACCTTTGTGCTCTCTAATTGTACAACCTACTCGTTAAGGTAAATCAATAAAACGAAATAAAAAAAAAATAATCATTTTACGCTCTAAATGAAAGTAAGCAAAACGTTTATGTAACGCAAGATTTTCCTCACCAAATTTTACTATAAATCTATTATGTGTATTGTATATAAAAACAAAAGAAATGCAAAATTATATTGATACTATATATTTAAATGTATTGCGGTTGCAAGAATGAATGAATCCAACAGCAGCTAAGCGACTCCAATTAAACAGAAAAAAAGCAAAAGATTTAATTATAAACAAAGAGAAAAAAAATTATAAACTAAAATATACAGTTTTGATTTTCACGTAAATTCAAAGGCACACAAAGAAGTTGAGCATTCGGCTTGATACGGAAGTACACAGGTGACTTGAAGGTGTGACAAGACGTGAAAATACTTAAAAATTCAAAGAAAATTAAAATATAAAAATAAAAAGAAAATGAAGACATACTATAGAGCATGTGGTAAAATGAAAGAAAGAATTGTGTGTAGAGAGAAAATTTCAAACAATGAAATAAGATGAATATTTGTTATGTTACAAGCATTAATTAATTATTATAATATTAATTATTAAAAATATTTGAGAAATAAATATAAAGTAAAAAATGATTTAAATCATTAAAAACTATACATTTTTTGTATGTGGTGTATTTAAATCAATATAGGCGCTGAGGAGTCACTTCTCCAATCACATAAACATTTTTTTACAATATTGTTAAGTTTAAAAACATATTTTTATTATTACTTATATTATCAAATATTACAAAACACGAATTGTTAAAAACAAAAAAAAAACAAAACATATGAAAACTCAGTTTTAAACATGTTTAATTTGCTTCGCTTCGACACTATTTCATTTAAACTTTAAATTATACTTATTTTAACTGTAATTATTTTTAAAAGTGTCTAGTTGTAAGATCTTAAGTTTA